GCTCCTTCGCCCGCGACGGACACAAAAAAGCGTGGCCGCGGTCTCGCACTAATGGATTCTGCTGTTGCGAAGTCAGTGTAAAGTGCGAGATGCCAGTGAAAAAAAAAACGCTGTTCAAGAGCTCACCTCATCAAGCACAATCTCAGGCTTGCAGCATCGACAACACCTCGTAGTCGGACCTCTTGCATTACCGAGTACGTATCTTCAGTACTTTTAGATGGACGGATCCTTCTATAAGTATTGTATTTAAAGGCAAAGCCGCAATCATTCGCCATCACAGATAGTGGATTAGGGTTCGCATATAGACGACAAGGTTCTGAGTAACTTGAGTGAAGAAAAAAGCAGGAAAAACATGCCAACTGCCCTAGATAGAAACCCATTTTGATACCAGTGTGCCCAATGAACTCATCTCCAACACTACGCCCTCATCCGCACAGCTGATTCCCCGATAAGAACTCTACGACCGTACAAGTGACGATTTTCATGCTTTTTCGTCCTGCAGCTTCGTTTTTCACTGAAAGGCGGGCCTTGGAGGCGGAGTCTGGAGGCGGAGTCACTGGAAAAAAGGAGGCGTCACTGGACCTATTTGCGCTGTAGCGCCCTCCCTTACAATTTTGCCGCGAAACCGGTACAAGGTTGTTCGTCGCGGATTACGCTACCTTCCCGACGCCATATTTTCAACTTCTATACCTGATCGCGGACCGTGCCTTTGACACTCGAGCACTGTGATCAAAAACTTCCATACTGTCATAGTCAAGCCTTGTATTCAGAGGGACTAATTAGTTGGTGCAACAGTCCGAACATATAAAGCCTTTAGTCGAGGGCGAAAAGGGGGCGTTCCAATGTTCGTGGCTGCGAGCGTGCGAACAAAGAACGAAGAGACGAAAGAAAGCAAAGAAGCAAGTGGAACAGTCGGTGCGGAGCATGCGGCTGTCACTCGTTTTGGAGATACTTAGAAACCTTCTTGTCCTCCTTTGTAGTTAAGGCCTGACTGGGAAATGAAGACAGGGCACACCATCGTTGTGGAAACCACGTTGGAGTCCTATCCTGAGATGTGGGGTGGGGGTTGTAGTTGGTGTTTCAGAGGAGCTCACCCCTCTCCTCCTGACATGATTGTTGTTACTCGTCCACCAACAATGTGGGGAAAACGGGCTAGCTGCGGGCGCCGAGCCAGCCTCCCGTAACATGTCTCCCAACGGTCTTCAGCGAGATCGCCTGTATTTGTACTGTAATGTCTAGGGACGGAACGCGGTCCTCCGGAAAGCACCGATTTTCTCCTCACTCCAACACTGTGCGCACCCGTCTTGCGACCACTATGCTCTCAAACATTTTAACTTTTTACCCGTGATAACTGCTTCGCCCTTCTTGGAACTTTCTTCACAGAAAGCCCAGTCTTAGATTCTCTCGCACACACCTTTCAATGCTTTTTTTCCAGCCACAGTCACTCATCTGTCTGCAATCCGTGGCAGAACCACAGCAAAAGGTTAAACAGTTAGGTAACCACAGACGCATCAAGTTGACCGAGCGACACTACTTACCCTTTACTGCCCCATCTTCCAAAAACAGGCCAGTTTTTGACCGACTTTTTTCTGCGTTGGCAGAATTGGCTAAAAATTTGTTCCCTGGGGTAGTTTGACCTCCTGAACATGAATATCACATCCGCTCGGCACGAAACCTCCTGGCGCCCACGCTACAGGCGCTGGCGCCAAAATACCCCAAATCGCGGGCGCCTGAACTTTCGGGCCGAGCGAATGTGATATTCGTATTCTAGGGGTCAAACTACCCCAGGAGACAACATTTGAGCCAAATCTGTCCACGGAGAAAAAAGTCGGTCAAAAACTGGCTCAATTCTGGATGGTTGGGGCAGTAAAGGGTAAATAGTGCCGACCGAGCCAAAGCGTACAACTAAGAGAGCTCGATCTACAGACTGCAAAAGGTCCCGCTTAAGCTGCAGCGACCGATAGTGATTAATAAATAGGAAAGCACTCACCTAGGCACGGCATACGGAGCGCATTTCCCTCTGCTTGCCCATATATACAAGACAGGCTTACGTTGATTAGTGCTCTGTTATAGAAAACATGTAAGCTGAGAGCATATAAGTTCAAATGTAAGCAGAGGGACATGAGAAGACAGGACATGTCATGGCACCAACAAAACCTTTTTCATACTGTACTTGTTGCCAATTTCCAAACCCCTAAACATTTCCGCAGCAGATTCAATCCCTGGATCAACGGGATGACGACCAGAACGGTCCCATACAATCAGCTGGGCCCTGGAAATAAAGATCATTGCTCACTATTCGAACACATAGCTGATATTAGCTTTATTTATAGCAATAGTCCTTAACTGTAGCCATCGTATCATTTTCTCCTCAAAGACTCTATCTATCTAGTTTTTCCTCTTTAGCAATGAAACGCCAGCTCCTTATCAAGCACCACTTGCATCTTGGCTTCAATTGATAAATGAGTACTCTGCTAGGTTTTGCTTTACTAATTTCTAGGGCACACTATTACAGTGTAAAATAAATAAATAAATAAATAAATAAGACTTCATGGGGGGGGGTCTAAAGTGTCTTCGAACTATTCAGACCAAGCTACTCAAGACATTCGCATAATTCTGATCAGGCACCGATACGCTAGGTGACTCCGAGAATCGGAGAATGGCGCAAGCTAGGAGCAGGGGAACCAAAGAATTCTCGAAGAAAATTACAAAGCATATACTAGGGACGAGCGCGGGCTGCGCACATCAGCTTGAATGTGGCAGCTGCCCCAGCTTTGCTGGAAGGGATTTTGCCCCCTGCAAGACAAGGACAGGTTGTAACACCACCATCCACCTACGCATGGTACGCATGTCTTTTATCTCAGACAGAGGGATTACATCTGTCGCCAAATGGATATGCCTAGAACGCACCTACGGCTATTTTCAAACGAAATGTGGCTAACACTGGGAAATACGGAGTGCTTTATAATATCGATGGGATTTTCCCTTTAGTTTCCCAAGCGATACATATCTATTCCATTCCACTCCACGTATAAATCTGTGTCACAAGCAATGAAAAAGTAATTGCAGTTTGCTTGCTCTTAGCATGAAAATAACCACGGCAACCACGGATACCCAACTAGCAGAGGCGAGCCCATGAAGTTCCTAATTACTTCTTGCTGGAAAGTCCTATCGCCTGTTTCCGGGGTATAAACGGAAGCAAAGGGATCGTTTGACGTGATATCTTCGCTGTCAAGGGACGTCAAGCTACGCGTTATAAGGGTAGAACAACTCTTCTAACTCGCAGGACTATTGGATCTTCTTGACTGATCATTTGGAGACGCTTTGTTTGGAAAGTAGGGAGCAAGCACTGAAGCCTGCGTTAAGTGTCTTATGTACGTAGGCTGCAACGAAAATCCAGCAAACTGGACCCGGACGACTTATGCTACCTGAGGACTTGTACCGGAACTTTTTTGACATGTCAGTGGCAAAGCGATCACCACAAACAACAGCCTCCCAGGATACCTCTCTGTAAAAGGGTACATAGAGCATACATCCCGGGGAACTCGTCCAAAAATCGTCTATACACCCAAACCGAAGTATCCTGTATTCGAAAGAACTATCTGCAGCAGCATTTGCCCACTATGATTTGCTATTTATTAGTTCATTACTGAACAGCTCTTTACTTTTCAGGGCAGGAAAATACTGAAAGAGCAATTCACCTCTAAAAACCCCTGACACCTGAACTGGTTCCCTACCAATGAACTGCTCTTTCTTTCCCAACTTTTGGTTCCAGTAATCGGTCTTCTCAGCTTTTTACCCCAGCCATTTGGTCTTTATGGCCAACAACAACAGTCTCATGGCCGTGTATTGACCTTTCAATAAACTCCTTACACAGGCTGTAAACAAGTAAAGCAACGCATTACTTAGTTAACTAATGATGTTACACTTACCTTCCGCTTCGTCTCATCAGAGAACACATCCGCTCACAGTAAGAATCAGGGTTCATTATTCCAAACTTTGGAAGGCGGATCATATGGAAAAGCATGTGGCACCTCGTGACGAGTCGCACAACGCCGCACCGCGGCAAAAATCGCGATGGAGCACGGCAGCTAGATTATGGGTACGGAAGATGTGTGCGTAATAAAGTGGATAAGAAAGAGCATCATAATAAAACTAGTGGTTTATCCTCAACTGAACCTCTGCGAAACGCCAGGGCTCATCTTCACCATTTATGCCCATGCGTAAGCGAAGGAGAAATTTGAAGATGTGACCGATCCA